GAATCCGTTGTATTAAGCATGAAAAGTCGTTATTCAGGGTGAGCAAAAATATTGGGTACCCGGTCCCGTACCTGGAACCGGTTAGGACCCGCCGGGTCCAGAACTTGAAACAGTACAACCAGTTCCAGTTCCGGGTCCAAAAATTAAGACCCGGTTATAACCGATTCCAGTTCCAAGTCTTGATTTTTAGGACCCCGTACCCGGTGGATACCCGGAACCAGTTGCATTGCCATATAAATGTTTATTTCATAACCCATTATAAGGACATTGGGCATGTATATTACTTGGCCCACTTTCTATTCTAAATCTAAGGAGTATTCTTTATACTTAACCCTAAAACTCTTTTCATTTTGTCAGCCACCTTACACCAAATTACCCACCTACCTAGTTTCATCCGCCCCCTTCAACTCCATATTGATGATATTTTTTCAAAAATTTCACTCATCCAACTTTAATAAATCACTCTAAACTTATCTATTTTCATATTCTTAGATCTAAACACCCTTTTTCATCATTAATTTTTACTTTTGCAATGAAATGATGTGAAAGATAAATTCGAGAAGACGATGCTGATGAAGATGATTATTTTTTTCTTTAAAGATAAATCGAGCTCCATAATCTGAGTTTTAGGATAATTTTGTATAATTCCAGCTAATATATTTACAAAAAAATTATATGTATAATATGAGTCTAGCTTGTTTGCTAATGTATATTCTTTAAATGTTTAGATCTAATTTTCCGTTCTTTCTTGTTTGCAATTTTCGTATAATATGTTTGGGTTTGATTTTGAATTTGTTAATTTTTTAATCATTTTTCTTAAAGGACAACTTTGTTATTTTTTTTCTCTTTTACTTTCTATGCCTAATACAACTGCATTTGGTATCTAATGCAATGGCAGTTGTAATCCGTTGCATTAGATTGATACCTAATGCAAAAAATCAACATGAAAGTGAGACCTGATGCAACGGAAAGGCTAACACAACATCTATGTGTGTGTGTGTGTGTGTATACAAAATCTATATGTGTGTGTGTGTATATATATATATATATATACATTAGCTATATTATTGATTAGCAGCTAATCATCAACAGTTTAATAATATTAATTAGTTGTTTAGTTAGTTAAATCTAAAAGTAATACTAAATATAAAATATTATTAAATTTATAACAATCTACAAAGTATGTGCATTACATACATTACAAAATAAAATATTATTTTCATGTATCACTACCGCGCAATACTAATAAAGATATTAATAATAAATAAAAGCTCACTGATTAATTTAACAACTGTGCAAAATACAATAGATCTTAATTTTTTTTTTGTGGGAAATATATATATATGCAAATATATATTTCCAAATCTTTAGAAGCTCGATCAAACTAAATAAAACTAGCTTAGAGTCGCCAGCAACATTTACGCACCCTTTGTTGGATGACTAGTCAATGTACTTCATCTCCATCTAGCTCACCATTTACCTACACGTTAAAAGAAAATAAAGTAATAGAAGTGTTGATTAGTGTAGCTTGTAATACCCCGTATTTTCATACATATTTTCTAATTAATTAATTAAGAATTATTTTATAAAAGGGTATTTTAGTAAATTTATTATTTGGAGCCAAAATAATATTTTAATTTTGGCGCCAAAAGTATTTTGAAAACTAATCATTATTTTGGATAAGATATATTATCCATTTATCCTATTTGAAAAACCGGATTATTAACATACTTTGGATATTTTAATTAAAGCAAAATAATATTTTGTTAACTATTTTATTATGGCCAAAATTTTCCAATAATTAGTTAGGATTTTCGGATTTTCCATGTATGAAAAATCTGTTTTTCTTAATTATTTATTGCTAAATAATTGGTATTTAATTAATTAATTATTTATTCTATATTATTTATACAATTATTTTATTCCTTAAAAACCGAGCAAAATCTTCCTAAATATATTTATAGGAGTCCGAAAATTTGAGCTATGGTAAGCTCAATATTTTCTGCCCTATTGAATTATTTTGGGGGAATTTAATTGGTAAAATTACATTTTTAATTATCTCCCAAAATTTGAGCTATGGTAAGCTCAATATTTTCTGCCCTATTGAATTATTTTGGAGGAATTTAATTGGTAAAATTATATTTTTAATTATCTCCCAAAATCTCTTATTTTCCTTAATTCTAATTCTCCGTCTTTTTAATATCTAATCATCATATTTTCTTTCCAATCATTCTTCTTAATTATTCCCCAAGTAATTCTAATTTCCTTATTATTTTTCATGACTTACATACCTTTCATATTCAAGTATACACAATCACCTTAATATCCAAACTTTCCTTAATTCTTTTACTCACTTCTCCAAGTAATCCCTTAAACCCTACTTACCATAATTCTTCCCACATTATCTTTCCATAATTCTTGCATGAGCTAGCCTATAAATACCTCTTCATACCTCTCATATTCTTCACACCAATTCTCTTCTTTTCTTCTCCTCAATTTTACACAAATCATCCCGTTTATCTTTGAAGCCAATTTTCTGGCACTTCTGGTCAGTTTTTTGGGTATTGACATATCACAGAAGATTGTTCCTCTCAAAATATCCTTGAAGGTAGGCTCAAGAATCACCCAATTCCGAGCTATATCAAAGGCGTTATGGCCTCTGCAAGTTCTGTCTATTCTTTTCAATGCAAATCCAATTCTTCTCTTTTCCTTGATTTCTTATCTTTTCTTCTTCTCTTCTCTTATTCAATTATTGTTGTTGTTGTTGTTGTTGTTGTTGTTGTTGTTGTTGTTGTTGTTGTTTTTGTCGTCGTCGTCGTCATATAGGAAGTAGGAATTGACATAATACGATTAGGGACAAGGAAAGTAGGGAGCCGCCAACAAGTTTTTTAAGGAACTTGTAAACCGTTCACGGATCATTTAATTAAGGCAATCACGAATAAGGGACAACGAAGGCAACAACGATTAACCCGTGAAGGTTACACCCCATTCATAATCCATGAGATTATTAACTCCATATGGTTCGGAACCACGAAAGGAGGATCGGGGATGATGGTACGAAGTGAGTCATGGAGTCACATTCGCCTGTATTGGCCTCTACTCGATTCTTATAGTGAAAAGTGATTCCTGCGATCTCAAAGGCATGCAAATAAAATATTCAATTTGCTCCAAACTATTATTAGGCTAAATTGGTTGAATATTAATGCAACATATAATTCTAAAATATTAGTGATCACTTTAATTAATAACAAGATTAAAAAGGAACCTAAACCGGTCGTCCAAATTATCTTATTAGGCGTGATTTTCAATTACATATTCCATTTAACATGCAATATGGTGATCAATAAAAATAGTAAAATAAACATTAATATTGGAAGCAATTTAACAATAATAGCATTAGTCAAATTAAATATAAAATAACATAATCATGATACTAGCAATATTAAAAGAAGATAAGAGTAACTAAATTAATTAATTACTTACATTCCGCGCGTTCCTTTAAATTACTACATCATGAATAAACTGTTAGTAACTTCAATAAAAAATATAAATCAAATAAAAATTAAATTAAATTAAATAAAAAGTAGAGTTGATTTGGTCCAAACCCTCAATTATTTGTACCTTTCACGCCTTGGTTTAAGGACGGAATCTCGGGTTAAGTATGGAATCCTTGGAGCGCTTAGGGGAATTATTATGGAAGAATAAGGAGGCTAGAAATTAGGTTAAAGAGGGAGAAGAGAATGATTTTTGGTGTAAGGTGAGAGAGAATGATTATTGGTGCCCCAAACTGTAGAGAAGAGGGGGGTATTTATAGGGAAAATGAGTAGAGAACACACGAAACCCTAAAAAATGGATAAAAACCCTACCGTGACACGGCAGACTCCACCGCGACACGGTAGAACCTACCGAAACACGGGGGAAACTTGTGTGACGCGAAACTGTTGTGTGACGCAGGGGGTTTGCGCGTGAAAAAAGAACGCAGATAAAACACGGGAAATACGGAACCCTAATAAGAGGATTAAAAACCCTAAAAAAGGTTACCGCTACACGGCAGATTCTATCGTGTCACGGGGGAAATTAGTATGACGCGGGACATATTTGACCTACGAGAAGTGACAACGCGTGAAGGGTTTACACGGAAAAGACACGAGAAAATCTCGTGTACCGCGACACGGCAAAGAATACCGCGACACGAAAATGCCCACCGCGACACGGAAATGCTCACCGCGGCTCGGTAAAATACACCGTGTCATGGTGGAATAAACATGCGGAAATGGCGCGGAAAAGCACCGTGTCACGGTATGTGTACCGCGACACGGTACAGACTGCCGTGACATGGTACAAAGCCCCGTGCCACGTCACTCTCTCCCGCAACGCGGCATTTGTGTTGTTTGCGCGGTAGTTCCAGTTTTTTATCCGTTTTTAAAACCATCATAACTTTTGATCCGTAACTCGGAATAAGGCATATAATATATCATTGGAAATATTATCAAGTCTACTTTCCAAACCAATTAAAATCAGGTCAAAATGATTTGTAAATTTTATTATATGGCCGTTTTAGTATATGGGTGTCGGTTTTAGGCCGAGTTTAGTGTTTTGCTCATATCTTTTTCGTTATATCTCGGAATTGGACTTATAATATATGGTTGGAAAGCTTATTTCAAGACCTATCCAAACAAATAATAATTGGATCAAAATTATATATCCATAAAATCAGTTACTCTCGGTTTTACGATGTGGACACGAAAAGTGGATAAAAAGTTATGGTTTAGGGAAATGACCTAGGAAATGGATTGGCTTATGAAATGTACTGGATAGAACATGGATTTAAGCACTCTAAAGATTAAATAATCAACCCGACCAATAATGGCGGTGAAAGATGTTCATCATCGGGTTTGGTTTCGGGGAGACATTTTTAGGTGTCTACAATTATTATGGAGGAAATATAAATAATTATAATGAGTATTTTTTTTTTTGAAGGAAACGAGTTAGTAGGCTTATTATTGCAAATCAAGTTCCGCCAAATTCCTAAGACCTTGGGGGAAACAGTTCATACATACACGTTCAGTACTACCATTGGTAACCCATCTAGCTACTAAATGAGCTACCGAATTGTCTACTCGTTTAACATGAGAAATAACAAAAACATCAAAGTCATTATCTAGCCTTTTAATATCATCATGGATAAGCCAAGTTGGAGAAGAGCCCATGGAATGGTTATCCACCTTACTGACCATAGAAGCCGCATCACTTTCAACCCATATTTTCTGGTAATTGAATCTGCAATCAATATTCATTCCAAACCTCACAGCAGCTGCTTCAGCCATTTCCACCTCCCACTCCCCTGCATACCTTCGGACAGCATCAAGCAACACCCCTCCATTCTCATCCCTATCCACCACACCAAGACTGATGTACAACCCCACAACAATGTGTGCATCCACATTAAATTTAATCAACCCAGCAGGGGGGCAGCTCCAAGACGATGCTGAAATAAATTTTGGGCTCAGAGGATTGCTAAAAACTTTCTTAGCGTAGCTGCCATAGTCAGTCACGAGCTTTGCGAAACCCGCAGCTGTAAACACCGCATTGACAGAGACATTTTCACGGACCTTTTGTTTCTGCAGAACCATATCGCCCATGCCAGTGCAAGGAAGTGACAGAGTTGCTGATGGTCAATTTTCTGAGCAATCCATAGCAGCCGTGCAACAAAGGACTCAGAAGGGGCATCCTCAATCAGTTGATTGAACCCACTATGCTCCCACACTTCTCTCGCAATATCACAGTCAAAGAGGACGTGTATAATAGATTCAACGCTAACACCACAACAGCAACAAACCTCATCAACTGCAATATGCCGACGGAACAACTCTTGCTTCACTGCCATACTACCTTTACATTCTTGCCAAGTAAAGTGTCAAAGCTTGGGGGGACCATTCAGCTTCCAGATCAACTTCCACGCCTCCCTGTCACTCTCAGAAATAGTATTTTCAAACCCCTGAATATGTCCCAATCTGCCGAACTAATAACCCGATTTCACCGTATATTCTCCATCGTTCGAAGGCCACCAAAATAAGGTATCTTCAGGTAAATCATAGGAGATCGGAAGTTTTTGAATAAGGTTAAGATCCTGCACAGAAAATAGGGACTGTAGTACATCCTCTCTCCATTCTTTGCACTCAACATTGATTAACTCAGACACCCTCAAATCAGGATCATAGTTGGTGTCATGTGTTGGGACAACAGAAACTGGTTTGCCAGGAAGCCAAGAGTTAAGCCATACCCGAACATTTGCCCCGTTACCCACACACCACTTGAGGCCATCAAGTAAGAGAGATTTGATCCCCATAGGCTTCTCCATGAGTAGCTCGGGTCATAACCCCGAAAAGCTTCAAGCACCGAGCTATGCTTAAAATATTTAGCCTTAAGAATGGCATGAGTCAGAGTGTTTGGGCTAGAGTAGAGCCTCCAAATCTGTTTTGCATGTAGCGCTTGATTGAAGACCTTTAAATCTCTAAATCCCATACCACCTAAAGCCTTCGGCAAACAAAGATTTTCCCAACAATGCCAATGCATTTTTCTTGTGGTATCAGTCGATCCCCACCAAAATCTGGCAAGCAAAGAATGAATTTCATCAATTAAACCATCCGGGATCTTAAAAATGCTCATCATGTACGTCGGGATTGCTTGTGCAATAGCTTTAATCATAATTTCCTTCCTGGGCCTAGATAAAAACTTCTCTTTCCAACCTTGCAGCTTTTTCCAAATTCTCTCCTTTAAACTTGCAAAAATCACCTTCTTCGACCTACCGATGATCGTTGGAAGACCAAGTTACTTCTCATGTCGCTTGACCTCGTTCACCCCCAAAATGTTCACAATTTCTTCTCTTTGCTCTGCATTAACACTTTTTCTAAAGACAACATCAGTTTTATCAGATTGACACTTTGCCCGGATGCTCTCTCATATTTGCTGATTATATCAGCTATCTTTGAGCATTCTCTAACTGTAGCCTTCGCAAATAAAATGCTATCATTTTCAAAAAAAATAGATGTGAAACTCTAGGGGCACCATTACACACTTTCATCCCATGAATAAGTTTCTCATTTGTCGCTTTTGAAATCAGAGTAGAAAAAGCATCCGCAACAATGAGAAATAAATAGGGAGAAATCGATTCACCTTGCCTCAACCCTCTAGAAGGAGTAACAGAACCAGAAATCCTTCCATTAATCTTGAACGCAAAATTCACACTCGACAAACATTCCATAACTCTACGAACCTAATTGTCACCAAACCCCATTTTATACATAACCCGTTCCAGAAAGGTCCATTCAACTCAATCGTATGCCTTCCGCATATCCAATTTTAAAGCCACCGATCCATTTCTGCTATCACCATTTCTTTTCTTTGCATGGAATATTTCAAAGGCTATTAACGCATTATCCGTAATCAACCGCTTCGGAACAAAAGCACTCTGATTGGCAGAGATGATTTTGTCCAAAAACGGTTTCAATTTATTTGCCATAGTCTTTGAAATAATTTTATAGAGGCCTAAATTCCGTCATATTTTTTGGATTTCACATTTTGGAATTAGAATCACACAAGTTTTGTTAACCGCACTCGGATCAATATTTCCATGCCACCAATTTCTTACAAAGCAGATTATATCCCTCCCAACAATATGCCAAAATTTCTGAAAAAATAAAGCATGCATACCATCGGGTCCCGGGGCCTTATTTGGATGCATCTGGAAAAGAGCCTCTTTGATTTCTTCCCCTGTTGGTTCTGCATTCAAAGAAACATTCATCTCAGTCGACACAACTTCTTCAATGCCTTCCAGATCTTGATCAAACTCACATGGGGAATCCGTTGAGAACAAAGAAAGGAAGTAGCTCTCTACAATATTTTCAATGTCGGGTTTTTTTATCCTTCCATACGCCATTCTAATCAAACAAACCACTAATATTATTGAATTTCCTCCTCTGACTTGCTTTTTGATGGAAATAAGATGTATTCTTATCTCCATCTCTAAGTTCATTTTCTCGTGCCCTTGCGTGCCAATAGGATTCTTCCAATCTATGTAACTCCGCGAGTTCATTTGATAGAGATGAGCACTGCTCCAGCATACCAGCGTCGTGGTACGATTCTTGCGCCTCTTTCAATCTCCCTTCAACCTCCTTTATTTTTTTCTTCAAACTGCCAAAGCATTTAGCAGCCCAAATAGACAAACTTTCCGCACAAGTGGTCAGTCTTAGATTAGCTTACGCCCTAATACTAGCCGCCCAAGCCTCGGCCACCACCTTTCCACATTCTTCGCTTGAGAGCCATAGTGCTTCAAATTTGAACTATTTTTTCTTACTCCCTCGTTCATAATAGTTACTAGTAGACATCACCAAGGGAGCATGGTCTGATTGGAAAATCGGCAAATGGTGCACCTCAAAAGCAGGAAACATTACACACTAGTACACATCGCCCAGAAATTTGTCTAGCCTCTCGCGTTTGAAAGTATTAGGATTAGTAAAAATGCTTCCTCTATAGCCCATATCTCTTAGACCACAATCATCAATTGCTTGTCAGAACGCGTCCATTACTCTTTCACATCTCAGAACCCCACCCTCCTCCTCTCCATGACTCACTATTTCATTGAAATCACCAAACATAACACACGGGAGGGGACTACTAGATTTTATATTATTCATAAGAGACCATGTACGATGTTTATTCTCCGTTTCTGGCCATCCATACACTCCTACAGCCCTCCAAATCGGCACGTCTTTATGGTCACCAATATCAGCAGCAATGTGGTGAATAGAATATGAGTTGATTTTCACATTGATGTCCCTCCACCAAAAGCCAAGGCCACCAGAGTTTCCATTACTACTCAAGCAAAAACCATTCACAAATCCACAAATATTTCAAACTCTCTCTAAACTACAAGCATCAATTTTCGTCTCCATTACAAAGACGATATTAGGCCGCTCTCTCCAACACCATTCCCGGAGAGCCTTAACCGTCCCAGGGTTGCCTAGCCCTCAGACGTTCCAGCTAAAAATTTTCATTGTTGTTCCAGGGTGTGGTTCAAACCACCACCCTCTACTTCATTTATGCTGTCTCCAGAAGAAATAATAGAAGTCACCTTAGCTTTCTTTCCCATCATTTTCACCTCACAATCTCCCACAACACCCTCATTTTCATCCCCATACTTTCTTTTACCTCCTTTTATAATCGAGATATCAGTCTCCATAGGAATTTCATTATCCCCACCCTCTTTTTCCTCTCTTGCTCTACTTCTTTTGACCCATTTTTTGTTTTTATAACTCTTAACGTAGCCCCCACACTACTGTTCTCCACTTCACTGCCTTGTTTCTCCACTAATTGAATATTTCCACTCAAATTCTCTTCACTGTCCACTTCTAATAAAGTCATAGTCCCCTGAGTACCCATCCGGTTTATAGACCCCCCATCATATCCTCCCCTCACCACCCTTCCTTACTCTCATATCCTTCCCCTTACCCTCTCCAGTCACCACCTTTGCTCTCAAAACAAGCCCAGTATTCGAATCATTCATCACAGCCATCAATTGTGACTCCCTCATTCTCGGCTCATCATTCTTACATGAAGGAGACTTAGCAGAAAAGAGTAGCTTATGAGCCACCCCAGGGGGACCAAGTTTAATCACCCTAGGGTCACTATACAGAGGGATTCGACCCCCTTTATTCGTCTTCAAGTCAGACATCCACTTTGCCTCTTTCTCACGCTGTAAATTTGGTACACGAGATTGTTTCCATGGTGATGCACGTAACCATGGACCATATTGATATACTACCTCCTCCAAGTCATTTGCACTTTCTTTTTTCTGACACTCTCTATCAGTGTGATCTAACATCCCACAGAAAAAACAAAAAGTCGTCTAACCTTTCATATTGAATGTCAATCCATCTTGAAGAATTGGGGCCGGAAGCTAGGCGCATCCCCCTTCGTAGAGGTTTATTAATATCCACCATAATCTTTAATCTCATACATTCCCCCCATCCAGTCAGATCGGAGTCATCAAACTCCAGAAATCCACCTAGAAATTCACCAATTTCCTTCATTGCACCTACAGAGCGCTTGTTAAACGGAACATCTTTCGATCGAATCCACATTGGCGAGTATGTAAAGAGGACTTCAGACGGTTGTTCATCCCCGCTAATCTCCTTCAAAATCAAGATTTTGTCATCGAAGAACCAGGGCCTCTCTTCCATCACCCTCCTTTTATCATCCAGATTAAAAAATTGAAACACAAATAGGTTTGTTTCAATCATTCTAATAGCTATATTATTCTGCATTCGCCACACATTCATCAAAGTTTTTTTCATCGCTTCTATGTTGAATGATTTAATAGTCCACAATTTCCCAATCAAAGTCAAGTCCAATTGGAATTTCGACTCCTCATCATCACAGTTTGACAAATCCTTACCCACGATAGTATCTTCCTCGTTTGTAAGTTGAAACTTCTCCAATTGCTTAATGATCTCTTTCTCCATCATTTCCATGGTTAATTCGATCAATTAATTGCATAAACACAGAGAATTTGGGAACGAATTTGGATTTACGAACAAACGAAACCAAACCCTAGACAAGGACTACAGGACCCTATTCGAGG